TATTCATTCACGGGATGCAGGCATTGCTGGCCAGGCAGCATTTATTGCCCATCCCTAATTGTCCAGAGGGCAGTTAAGAGTCAACCACATTGCTGTGGGTCTGGAGCCACATGTAGGCCAGACCAGGTAAGGATAGCAGTTTCTTTCCCTAAAGGGCATTAGCAAACCAGATGGGTTTTTCCCCCCTGACAATTGACAATGGATTCATGGTCATTATTAGATTCTTAATTCCAGCTATTTATTGAATTCAAATTCCACCATCTGCTTTGGCATGATTTGAACCCAAGTCCCCAGAAAATTATCTGGGTCTCTGGATTAACAGTCCAGTGATAATACCACTAGGCCATCACCTCCCCTAATGCCAGCATACCTTCTGAATGGTGAGCTTTCCATCCTTGTGTAGAATCAGGGCTTGTGGTTACGCATTTATTAAAGCAAGAACATAAAACTAAACTGAAAACAATACAGGAACGAGATCGAGAGATTTGGCAAGTGATTTGGAGCACTGATGCATCTTTATTTGCTACAGCTACAATGATTTTGCTCTGAATTGCAGTATCTGGGCAGCAAAAGCTATAAAATCTGTTATAAAACATTTTTATAGAACTCTGGCTAGACTATTACTAAAGTACTCTGTCCAATTCTGACTAACACACTTACAGAAAGATATGAGACTCCTCAAAGGAGTGCAGAGTGTTTACCACAATGGTTCCAGGAATGAGGGCTTTTAGCTACAAAGCGAGGCTGAGTTGATCACTTTTAAGTGAAGGAGATTTAGGGGAGATTTGATAGAGGTGTACAAGATGATGTCGGATTTTGATTAGGAGGGCAAAATAAGAGTTATTAGATCTGGTTCCTTTAGCTAAAAGTGCAAAGGATCAGGGGTCACAGATTTAAGGCTTTGGGTAAAAGATACAGGGGAAAATTTGAGGAAGGACTATTTACATAGAACATAAGAACTAGGAGCAGGAGTAGGCCGTCTGGCCCTTCGAGCCTGCTCCGCCATTCAATAAGATCATGGCTGATCCTTTCATTGACTCAGATCCACTTACCCGCGTTCTCACCGTATCCCTTAATTCCTTTATTGTTCAAAAAAAATCTACCTTTTTTTTAAAAGCGTTTACTGAAGTAGCGTCAACTACTTCACTGGGCAAGGAATTCCACAGATTAACAACCCTCTGGGTGAAGAAATTCCTTCTCAGTTCAGTCCTAAATCTGCTCCTCTAATCTTGAGGCTATGCCCTCTTGTCCTAGCTTCACCTGCCAGTGGAAACATCCTCTCTACTTCTATCTTATCTATTCCCTTCATAATTTTATATGTTTCTATAAGATCCCCCCTCAATCTTCTGAATTCCAATGAATATAATCCCTATTTACTCAGTCTCTCCTCATAAGCCAACCCCCTCAACTCTGGAATCAACCTAGTGAACCTCCTTTGCACCCCCTCCAGTGCTAGTATATCCCTTCTCAAGTAAGGAGACCAAAACTGCACACAGTACTCCAGGTGTGGCCTCACCAGCACCTTGTACAGCAGAGGTTTCAGCAGAGAATGGTAAAGACCTGGAACTAGCTGCTCATGAGGGTGATGGAAGCAGATACAATAAATGGTTGAATCAGACAGGCACTCGAGAGAAATAAATTTGGAGGGTTATGGGTAATAAGCAGAAGAGGATTGTTCCAGGGAGCCAGCAGGGACACAATGGCCAACTGTTCACCTTCTGTACCATATTAACACCAAGATTGTCAACAAAGTCACATTCCTTCCCTTCTTGCCAAGTCACTAGGACTGAAATTTGTTTTATCTGCCGGGTTCAGCTCAATAGCAAACATAGCTACACGGGTGAGGCCTCTTCTGGAGTACTGTGTCCAGTTCTGGTCGTCAAGGAAGGACATTATTAAGTGGGGAGGGTTCAGAAGAAATTTACCAGGTTGTTGCCAGCTATGGAAGGTTTGAGTTGTAAAGAAAGGTAGATAGGCTGGGATTTTTTTCCACTGGAGCATAGGAGGTTGAGAGGTGGCCTTATAGAAATTTATAAAATAATGAAGGGCATAGAGTTCATGACAGATGTCTTTTCCCTAGGATGGGAGATTTCAAGACTAAGGGACATATTTTTAAGGTGAGAGAAGAGAGATTTTAAAAAAAAGACATGAGGGGGAAACTTTTTACACAGAAGATGGTTCACATGTGGAATGAACTTCCAGAGGAAGTGGTGGACGTGGGTACAATGAATGGGAAAGGTTTGGAAGGATATGGGCCAGGAGCAGGCAGGTGGGTCTAGTTTAGTTTGGGATTATGTTCAGCATGGCCTGATTGGACCGAAGGGTCTGTTTCCATGTTGTATGACTCTGCAAGTCACGAGGATGCAGTTTTGATGGGTTAATGCGGTCCTATCTTAAAGTGAGAGTTCCCCATCAATTCTGCTTTGCATTCATTGTAATATGTACAAGCAAGTGACTAATGAAACCTCCCTACAAGTTCATGCAATTTAATCTCTTTTTTGTGTTTAAGAACTTAATAGGAGATATACCATCTATCCATTCTTGGCAACCCCAGTTAACGGTTCCTTCTCTTTTTCACCTTTGTAATTTTCAGTGTAAACTGAATTATTTTCTTACCTGAAATTTTCCTTAACACAAAATTTCCTCCAAATCCAGTTCCCTGTCTAATCATTGCGTAGGCTGTGACTCACAAGAGTTTGGAGCAGGCATAGGCCATTCAGCCCACTGAATCTGTTTTGCCATTTCATGACATTATAAGTAATCTGATCATTGCCTCAACCCTACTTTTCTATGGGGTTCCCATCTCTCTTACTAATCGAAAACGTGGTTAGCTCAGTTGGCAACCGTTCTCATCACATAGTTTAGACTCAAGCCCATACTGAGTCCATTCCAGTGCCTTTTTTAAAATTCACTTATGAGACATGGGTGTCACTGGCTGGGTCAGTATTTATTGCTCATCCCTAGTTGCCCTTGAGAAGGTGGTGATGAGTTCCCTTCTTGAACCACTGCAGTCCACGTACTGTCGGTTGACCCACAATGCCGTTAGGGAGGGAATTCCAGGATTTTGTCCCAGAGACACTGAAGGAACAGTGATATGTTTCCAAGTCAGGATGGTGAGTGGCTTGGAGGGGAACTTGCAGGGGGTGGTGCTCCCATGTACCTGCTGCCCTTGTGTCTCCACAAGGAATGGATGGGTTGTCTTATGAGGAAAGGTTGGACAAGTTAGGCTTGTATCCAAAGGACGTCAGAAGAGTAAAGGGTGACTTGATTGAAATTTATCAGATTTTCAGTATCTCACTAGGTTGGATGTGGAGAAGATGTCTGCATATCTCTTTAGGGAAAAATTAAGAATTAGAGAGTTCACCATTTGTAACAGATGAAAATTTTTCTCCCAGAGGGTGGACAGTGTTGGAACTCTCCTTCTGAAAAAGCAGTGGAAGTAGAGTCTTTGAATATTTTTAAGACAGAAGTGAATAGATTCTTAAATAAGGTGGTGGGGGGGGGGCGGGGGGATTGAAAGGTGACCATAGGTAGGTAGGAATGTGGATTTTCATTATCAACAACAAAGAAGGATCAAATGGCCAACACTTGCTGCTTGTTCATCTCTACTAGTTTTGCTTTATGATGCAAGGTGTGTGATATATCTATTTTATAAATTTATATAAAACGTATTTTAAGAGTTTGGATTTTGAACTAGTGCCATGTGGATTTTGGTCTATGTATCAGGGTGTTTAGTGATTAGGTTGAAAGTGTTTTTTCCCTAGCCTGAAAACCTGTTCAGCTTATCTAGCACCGTCTTTTTATTTCAGGCTAAGAGTTTGTCGAAAAGATGGGTAAACACAATACCAAACTGTTAAAATGATCGAGGCACTGCCAACCAGGGGGTTGAGGGCAGCAGGTACATGGGGACACCATCACCTGCAAGTTGCTCAACAAGGTACACACCATCCTGGTTTGGAACTATCCCGTCATTCCTTCAGAACTCTCCTCCAAACAGCACTGTCAATATCCCTGCACCTCAAGGACTGCAGTGGTTCAAGAAAGCAACTCTCTATCACCTTTTCAAAGGCACTTAAGGATGGGCAACAAATGCTGGCCCAGCCAGGAACATACATATTCCATTAGTTAATTTAAAAAGTCAATATGACTGTCAGAAAATAAAATTTTACCAGAACCAATCCTAGCTCAAACCCATCTTTATGTCTGTGCTGTTATCAGGGGATTTATCGCAAGGTATATCCAAGGCTCAAACCCCACCTGTCCAACAGTGGGAGCATCTAACCAAGGCTCTGCAACCATGTAGAGCCATAGAGTTATACAGCACAGAAAACTGAGCATTTGGTCCAACTCATCCGTGCCAACCAGATATCCTAGCTTAATCTAGTCCCACATGCCTGAATTTGGCTCATATCACTGTAAACCCTTCTTATTCATGTACCCAGCAGATTCCTTTTAAATGTCACAACTGTATCCACTTCCAACATCTCGTTCCATACACACATCACTCTCTGCATGAAAATGGTGCCTGTCAGGTCCCTTTTATATCTTCCCCTCTGTCCTTAAACCTATGCCTTCTGGTTTTGGACTCTCCTACCCTGGGAAAAAGACCTTGACTATTCACCCTATCCATGCCCCTCATGATTTTATAAACCTCTATCAGGTCACCCAAGTTGATTACTGTGAAACAGAGAAGTTCAATGCCAATCCCATAAGAACTCTTCCCAGTTCATCATTTCCTAGACATGTTCAGATCACCTGGAAGGGAGTGGGAGAGGAATTTCCCCTGAATTTTTTTTCTTTAAATGGTTCTTTCTAACTCTCCAAGGAAACGATTTGGAAAGTGGGATAGAGGTAGAAGGAAGAAGCCTAAAGTCAAGGAAGCTTATGATTATGTGGAGCTCGCTCAATGGTCCAAACTGGTCTTGTCCCATCATCAATTTTACGCATAACATGAAAAACACGTATCACCACAGATATTGTTAAATCCAAACAACAGAACGGACAAGGGGGAAAAATCTTTATTGCAGTAGCTCAGTTGTAGTACAAAAAAGTGTTCTACCATCAATTACCGTTAAAAAACTAATTAATTTATGGTTTGAACAATTCTTGCAGATACACAGAGTTCATCTGATAGGCTCTCAGCCAATCTGAATGCCTCTTTGAGCTTCCATAATAAGGATACCCAATGGTAGCGTAGTAATTGCGCCATGCACGATAATAAGCCTTCCAGTAATCACCTGAACATTCAGACTCAGAGGGCAACAGGGGCTGACCTCCTGGGTAAGGGCAAGATGCATCCTTACTGCCCTTCTCTGTGATAGTGGAAGCTCTGTCTGTTTCAGCTGATGCCAGCTTGGGATCTGCCTTGGATCTTTTCCTGCTGCCCTTAGGGGCTGAGCCTTTGACAGAGGAGCAATTGACACCTAATCCTGTATCAATCTCAAGCGGTCGTTTGGAAGAGATGCCAGAGAAAGAATTAGCAGCTGCCTCATCTTTGAAGCCCCCTTGCTGGGCAAGGGATTGGAAGGCGGAAAGGCTTTTCTCACTCCGATTGGGAAAATCCTCTGGGACAGGACTTGTGACTTTCCTCAGCAGATCATCATTCTGGACGTGAGGATTCACTGGCACCTCAGCCTCTGTTGATGACTCTCTGCTGCTGGTCCTGCTGCGTGTTGAAGAGTTGGTGCTGGAGCTGGAATCACTGGGGTCTTGGTCATCGAGCTCAGTCGGTTTTGCCCACCTTTGAGAATTATGTAGACAGACCAAATCCTTCTTACTAAGAAACAGGCGACTGTTCTGTTCTTGGGACATCAGCTCCCGGCTTTCTGAATCTTCGGTTTCATTTGTTGACTTCTCCTTCAAGATCCCAGTGAAACCCGTCCATTGGCGGACTATTTCCACTGGCTTCTCATCCCGTTCGGCAAGGAAGCCCTCGTAATCTTCAACAATTTCCACAAAGCTCAACGATCGCCTCCTGCGTTTTGATCTTTTCTTAAAGAGTGTCAAGGGTGGGATTTTTGGAAGTGATTCTTGCAAAGCCTTCCTGTCTTGCATTGTGATGGTGACTGGCTCAGCAGAGGATTGGGGCACATCACAGCGCATGGCATCTTGGAGGTTTGCCTGGACTTTCATTTTGATGTCAGTGGGCACGTGGAAGATGCTGATCTCTGGTGTCCTCGCCGCATCTCCAGCAAGGCATCCCTGGGTCTCTTTTTCTGTCGGCACCTCCTTCGATTTCACAATTTTCTTGGTTGTGAATTTTCTTCTAGCAAGTTTGGCAGGAGACAGTGACAGTGGCTCTGGGATGGTGTGCTCCTGCCTCACTGAGGGTTCAATCTCAGCGGCCAATGGAGTTGCTGCAGGGGCTGGATTCTTATCCCCTTGTACCTTGATGACCTCTACATCCCAATCTATGGGGTCTTCCAGTAATCCTGATGGAATTGGATCTATTTAAAGAGAAACAAACCATGAAGAATTGGCAAAGACTTTACAGAGTCTATTTATTCCCCTCAGATATGCATCTCTGTTTGGGGATGTGGTGATAAGGAGGCAGTATAGTGGGATCCAGTTACTTTATACTGGCTATACTTCAGCCTGAAACATGTCAATATTTTCCAGCCTACAGCATTCCCTCAACAACACAGTTAAACATCAACTAACCAGCCAGTGTTTGTTAGTGCGGCTGAGAGATTTTAAAAAGGATATAAATGTAATATCGTCTATAATGCTCATAAAAACATTAAAGTTTTGTAACAGTGCATCATAGTGTCAACTGGAAATAATCCAGAAGATTAAATTTACAAGTAAATTCATTCTTTTCACCTACCAGGTAGACTCAGGAGGTGAAGATTGCAACGCTGTGCTATTAACTCCAACTCATTCTCCTCTTCACCGCGACAACAGTATGTCACAGCCAAGCCTTGAGTGCCTGAATAAACATCAAAGGGACATTAATATGCAAAAGTTTTATTCCTCCCAGTTTTAAAGGGACTAATTAATGTTACCTTAATAAAAATACAAAGCTGTGTTCATGGCTGACGTCCCCAGCAGGTGGAACCCCGCATGTGCAATATTGGAGAGTTGCCTCTAAATTCTTACCAACTGGTGTGGGTTAGGAATGAGAAATTAGCAGTGAGTATGGTATAAAGGGCAAGTGGCTCATCTTTGTCAGAAGAACCAATTAAAATGAATCATTTGTCTGGCTCATTCTTGAACCGTCAATCAAGGGAGTACAGATTCTCTCAAACAAACAAACAGTAGCATTCACTCACTGACTGCACAGGATTCATGGTCTCTTCAGGACAAACAACCCGACTGCCTTGATATCTGGTAAAGCACCCTCTGAAACGTGTTATTTCCCCAGTGTGCTCAAAAGTGGAAGCAGGTTTGATGGAAAACTGGATTCAGTCAATGTCAGAGTTTGCGTGTACATGAAACCATCACTCATTGTCACAACTGTGTTGCGAGTGGATCTGCACTAGTGTGCATGGATTAATAGCAACACACTCTCAGTGTAAATAAGCGTTTGACAATACAAATATCCCCATGATGTTTATTTGCATTTTTAAGGCACTGACTATTGTTGGCATGTTTCATTAACTGTCTTTCAGTATTAAGAGGTCCTTCCCACATGCATCAACCTGGAGTAGAAGGCTATTTGACTGCAGAAGGGCTCACAGCCAAGCTTAATTATGTTCACACAGTCCTGAAAGGCAACTTTGCAATGGAGCCGTTACTGGCTGGCAGCAGAATTTTGTTTGCACTTACGTAGAATTTCCTAGTTAATGAATCACTTCTGAAGTACTGTGTCAGGCAGCATCCGTGGAGAGACGGCAAGCTAATGTTTTGAGTCTAGATGACTCTTCTTCAGGGCTGATGTGAGGTGTAACTCAAAACTAGGTCTAGACTCAAAATGTTAGCTTGCTCTCTCTCCATGGATGCTGCCTGGCCCACTGCCATCTCCAGCATTTTTTGTTTTCAGTATAGATTCTAGCATTTGCAGTAATTTGCTCCTGTGTCTGAAGTACAGTCAGTTATGCAAGTTAACATGACATCTAACTGTGCACAAGGCTCCATAAACTGGAGGGATATAAAAGGAACAGTTCATCTGGTCTAGGTATTTTCAACTGCAGAATAAATGGACAGGAGAACACCAATAGAACTGCCTTACTATTTTTTGAATGATGTCAAGGAATATTCCACTTCCATTGAAACAGAAGAATGAGACATCAATTTAACATACTGCATGAGAAAAACGACACCTCTGACAATTGAGCATTCAGTACTGCACTGGAATGTCAACCTCGATTGTGGTCAAATCTTGAGAAATGGACTTAAGCCCTCATCCCACTAATGTCACAGACTCAGGGTGACAAAGTCATTATCCATAGACTAGAAGAGGCAAGGAAAGTTACTGCCTGCACATTGGTATAAAGTAACACACAGGTTTTAGCATTAGTTCGATGTCCAGGTGCAAACAACCCCTATAAACTCTGGTTTCATTTTCAGTTCAGAGATATTGAGTCAATCTCTGAAAATAGATAACAAGGTGTAGAGCTGGATGAACACAGCAGGCCAGGCAGCATCAGAGGAGCAGGAAAACTGACGTTTCGGGTCTGCACCCTTCTTCAGAAATGGGGGAGGGAAAGGGGACTCTGAAATAAATAGAGAGAGGGGGAGGCAATGATGGAAGGTGGATAGAGGAGCAGATAGGTGGAGAGAAGACGGACAGGTCAAGGAGGCAGGGATGAAGCCAGTAGAGGTGAGTGTAGGTAGGGAGTTGGGATGGGGGTTGGTCAGTGAGGAGGGAGAGGCAGGTAAGTGGGAGGGAAGACAGACAGGTCAAGGAGGCGGGGATGAGGCTAGTAGGTAGGATGTGGGGGTGGGGGTTGGTCAGTGAGGTGGGAGGAGCGGATAGGTGGGAGAAAAGACGGACAGGTCAAGAAGGCAGGGACGAGAGGGGCTGGTCTTGGTATGAGGTCAGGGGTGGGGAGATTTTGAAGCTTGTAAAGTCCACATTGATACCATTGGGCTGCAGGGTTCCCAAGCGGAAATGAGGTGCTGTTCCTCCAGCCTTCGGGTGGCATCGTTGTGGCACTGGAGGAAGCTTGGAGACTGCTTTGTGGAGCATCTATGCTCGGATCGTGACAAACGACTGCACCTCCCAGTCGCGAACCATTTCCACTCCCCCTCCCATTCCTCAGATGACATGTCCATCCTGAGCCTGCTCCAGTGCCACAACAATGCCACCTGAAGGCTGGAGGAACAGCACCTCATATTCCGCTTGGGA